GAGAGAGAGAGAGAGAGAGAGAGAGAGAGAGAGAGAGAGAGAGAGAGATAGAGAGACAGAGAGAGAGATAAGAATAAGGAGAGAAAGACAAATAGAAAGATGAAGATGGACTAACATGGCGCTGCTGGCAGTCGAGCTGGACAAAGCGGTGCTCGAGATCACGCCACACTTGGAGCATTTCAGGAGCAGTCGGCTACGCGCCTCCGCTGGGACACTTTAGGACATGTGCACACAGACAGACACACACAGACACACACACACACACACACACATATACACGCAGCCATGTGGGGAGGAGAAGAGGGGGTGTGGAATGTGTGGAAACACAAGTTCCAGTATTGGCAACAGGTGAATGTGAAGGTGTCATAGGTGCAAAAAGAACGAGAGAAAAGAAGAAAAAGTGGACACAACACAGAGAGGGTGGGGAAAAGAAAAAGTGGGGAGGGGAGGGAGAAAAGAAAGAAAGGCAAATTAAAAACAGATCTTAATAAAAAGTAGCAGCAATGAATAACAGTCAGAATACAAAGATTGATTCAGAGCAAGTGGAGAGAAAGTGAGAGACGGACAATGCGATGTTACAGCAGAATAGTGTGGATTAACAGAATACAGTGACACAGAGAGGAAATACACTAACTATCTTATTTCAACAGGGCTGTGCACAATATAGCTTTATCTGGGCGAAAAGGAAGAAAAATACTTTGGTTGTTTACTTACAGTTGACTTCTCAGACAGAGAAACAGTGTGCGTGTTTGTGTGTTAATGTGTATGTGCAGTATTGTCTACCGCAAGTGGAGAATGATGGGGCCATGCACGGGCTATGCTACATTAGCGTCCCATCACAGCTCATTGCCTTAGCGCCAGCCACATCCCCACGGCTTCATAAGGAAATACATTTGGCGAATGGCAGCCTGTCCTGTTAGCAACATGAGCAGCTACTGTGTGCGGGAGCGCTTAGATATGTGTGTGCCCACAAACACACACTTCAGAGAATCTGAGAGGGAATGTGCTCAATACTCAGATAACAGCAAGGACTCAGCCTGTAACAAAGAAGGGTGCATCTGTTTGTGTGTTTGTGTAGGTGTTTGCGCACACCAACCGGTTTAATCTCAGTTGAATCAAATGTTAACAAAAGCTTATCAACCCCCCAGAGAGCCAATTGGTAACATTAACCCTTGCAGCTATACACAAATTGTCAATTCAAATTTGTGCAGGAGACAGACATTGGAGGAAATGTAATGAGATAGAGAGAAAAATAGGAAGAAAAAAAGAAAATCAATAGCAATGGAAATGAAAACATAGATTTGGCCGCGTGAGCTGAGGAAACCTCCACTTATAGAATTAGCAAAGATGATGAACAACCACCAACTGCTTTAATATAAGTAATGTTCTAGGTGGATGCATATGCATGCATGTCCTATGTGTATGCACATCAGATTTGTGCACGTGTGAAAGAAAAATGGATTTCAATAGATGTCAGCCACATAATCCTGGTAAATAATTACGTTTCCATCTGCCATTGATTTTCATATCAACCATATTCACCCATGCCACATAATACTGAGAAAACTAGACGTGGAAGCGATTGTGAAATGCTGATGGATTTCACAGAGCAACAGAACATAACAGATGTCTTGTCATTTTTATGCCAAATTGGACCATATTTCTTTTTTTTTTCCGGGAGGCACAGGTGCAGAAGTAGGTGTGCGTTCAGATACCCTTGAAAGCAGTTGGTATTAAAATTGCCATGAAAATGTTGTCTCCCTGAGTTTGTGTCTGCCAGAGAGATTTATTTAATGCAGCAAATTTGTAGTCTGTTCCCACCAACAATTGTGTTGATGGATGAAAAAGCGGTGTGTGTTGATGTCTTTTGTGCATAGCTGTGTGTGTGTGTATGTGTGTGTGTGTGTGAGAGAGAGGAAGGAAGTTAACTTACCCCGCTCGTTGCTTTTTAGACTTGTCTGAAATGCCGTCTCGTGACATGAGCTTGTTAAACACCACAATTCCAATGAGCATATTGACCTAAGAGAGACAGAGAGAACAGTTTCATTGGATTATATTCATGCACTAATCAAGAAAGACAATTCCTTCTTTATTGTCCCACAAGCTTAAGACTGACAGTGACGGTGCCTTTGCTGTCAGGGCTCCCAGGCTGACTTGCTCCCATGCAGGAGTAGCTTTAAGCTTATTTCAATCACATTTTTATTAAAATAGCATACTCTATCCCATATCCTAGCACACAGCTATTACTCACAGTCTTGACCATAATGGCCAAATATAATAACACATAATAAAAATATAAATATAATAAAATAATTATAATAATAATAACCGCATCCAGACTTTGTGTAAGTATTTGTGATGCCATGGTACTAAAACAGAGACAAATTTAAAAATATATTTCATGAAGTGAACTCAAATTTATCCATATTATAACATCATGGCGTATACTTTTTTTTACAACTGATGCATGCACCTTTACATTTGGCCAGTCACTACTAAATTGGCTGATGTAAAGATATTTTTCCTCCTCGTATTCAACATTGCAGATGTACGTTACGATAATTGATTCTTGCTGTACAGCTTCCAGCCACTAGTGGCAGTAATGGGAGCAATGTTGCTGAGGAATAAAACTGCAACTTTAAAGGTACTCTGTGAAGTTTGCTTGCAAAAAATAAAACACGTAAGTTATGTTTACATTCTCACGGTATTGCATTGTGGTCCAAAAGACCAGTTTTTTGGCTTCTCTTACAAATGAGGAGCCCCTAGCTAAGCCTGCCAAACATCTGGCCATAGTGACCCTGTGACAAAGATTCTATTAGACACACGCTCACAGAGATCTGAGCCAAGGCTTGCCACACGTAGACGACCTCTTCCGCTCTGAAATCCTGTCCATCTGGGAGAAAGTCTATGCCAGCGACATATTCCTTCTAATCCTGATTTTATCTGAACTCTTTCTATCACCGTTTATGGGTTTCCCCGTAGAGTTTATGTTTAGTTATTCATCTGCTAGTGTTCTTTGGGATGTCAGCGGTCCATTAGCAACACATGGCATTCACGCACTGTTTATGCAAAGCATTCCTAGTGTCATCAAGGTCCTAAACCGAGTGTCTGCCTGTCTTACCATTGGCAACTTCTGGCTAGGCATAAGCATGTAATAGATTCAATACAGGGTTGCTGGAAATCCTAAAGAAAGAGCTGAGTGGTTGAGCAGTTAAAGTGTTACTTTGATGTGGTCAGTCGAATTTCCACTTTTTTGCAGCCTTTGCAGAAGCCAGATTTTTATTTGAAGCCTATTTCTTTGCTATGTCTGGCAGCTTTTGCAATAGGCTAAAATCTCTCTCTCTCTCTCTCTCTCTCTCTCTCTCTCTCTCTCTCTCTCT